TCTCTCTCTCTCTCTCTCTCTCTCTCTCTCTCTCTCTCTCTCTCTCTCTGCTGCAGGGCCTGAAGGAGGAGGCCTCTGCAGTGGATGGAGGCAGAAGACAAATAACTTTTCAGGGCACAGGAAGTAGGTCATCTTCCTATCAAATATTTATTTCTCATACTGTGCCCAAGGCTCCTAAAGGACTCCCTCTTTAGAGACTCTACATGTGTGTGTGTGTGGTTTCATGCTTTGCTCATTTGCACATATATGGCCGCTAATCTTCTGTGTCTCACTGAATTTGAGTTCAGAGATGTTGAATATTATATTGTAGTTCGGTCCGCTCACAGTTGGCAGTGGCACTCAGCTCATGGTGGCAATCAAAGTACTTCAAAAACCCTCAGCGCCTGATTGTTGCACTTTTCGTCTAAATTGGTAGTTGAAGCCGTCTCAATTTAGTCTGAGGAGCCCCCACAATGCAATGCCCCGATGGCTGCCGTCCATCCTGGAGGTTCAGATCAGCTCCACATTTTACAGCGTCTTAGTGACATAAAGGCCTCGGGGAACTGGTGGAAGCCACTACTGCTCGTGTTTGGTTATTCAGCAGCTTTCTGTTGTATCTAGAATTTATGGTTTAAATTAGTACCATGATAATAAGAAGAAGAAAATGCTACCGACATCAATTTACATCCCACTACGGCAAGTACGTTGGAAAAAAATGGAAGCTCGACGTGCTATAAATATTAAACTATTTACATTTTTACAAGCTCTACTTACAGCCTCTCCTCTCTGCTCTGCGTTCAGTTTATTTAGTTCAGTTTATTAACTGGATCCCCGTTAGCTGACGCCTTAGCGGCCGCTGATCGTCCTGGGGTCCAGAGAAAGGACAACACGTAATACATGCAAAACATGACGTGAAACAAACAGCCTGCAGTTCAGTCGAAGTTTGACGTTTTCAAGGACCGTCGGAAAGATGAAGATGTGAGGATTGTGACAGACACACACACACACACACACACACACCGATTGTGTTTTTACAGCTTGTGGCGATAGTTTAAATAAAACATGCTTTTCCATCCCGCCGGCGGGTTTTGGGGTTTGGCGGGTCATGCCTGATGTGGCCTTACACATAGAATAATGATCCCAGTCACCTCCACACAGTGAGGCATTAGGCCTATTATTAAACACTGGTATCGGATCTGTTCTTGGTATCGGCCAATACCCAAAGCCCAGGTATGGGTACCTGCAAAGAAACCGGATATCGGATGCTATTTGCTGTCTTCAGCCTCTTAAATATGTATGTTTGTAACGATCAGTTTTTTCTGTTCTGTAAACCTGTAAAGACGTCACCTTGGGCCCTGAGACATTGTGACGGCCGTATTTTACAAGACATTTATAGTAATCACAGAACGAACCGTCAGATTAACTGATAATGAAAACAATCATGTGTTGCAGCCCCACAAATGAATTAATAAAGCTTGTGACTGCGTTTCTAATTCGGCACACATATTGTGTTTCTAAATGTCTATGCAGCACATTTAGAAACACAATGAAATCGTTTGTGATTCGTCTGTTGATTAAAATAATAATAGTATATAATTATTGATTAGAGTCTAAAATGTGAGAAAATAACAACCTCCCGGAGCCCATCGTGACGTCTTTAGACCGTCAGTCTGAAATACAAACATACTCACTTCACACTGGCACGAAAGAAAAGAGAAAATCTGCAAATGCTCACGTTTAAGAAGCAGGAAACAACAAAAGTTTGGCTCTTTTTATTTT